AGTGAGCACTATAATATGCAGCATTGCTACTGGAGACCCAAAAATTATTACGAATAGAATGGGGAAATGAATTTGAACATTTTAAGTAAAATTTTGCTATTACTAATAACCATCTATGTCATGAGCTATATTATGCACCCTTAGAAAAATCAAGGTTCGAGCTTAGTCTCTTTTTTTTTTTATCTACAGTTGAATTAATTTTCTTTTGGAAAACCTTTTCTTTTTAATTCCTATTTTGAAAGTTTTCTTTTAGAAATTTCTAATGCATCGCTGATTAAGGAAATTATTAAAAGCAACAGAAAGAAAAAAAAGTCCACAGTAGCGCGAAGCCAGGGACACGTCAGGTGACTTACTGGTCATCCAATTGTATTTAGCCACGTCACTCGATCTCCACTTGGCGAATTGGAATTCGCCATGATGACTCAGCACGAGTGGCACTGGAAATTTATCATTAGCTCAGTAGGCAAAAGAACTGTAAAAGCAAAAAACAAAAATCAAATCAAAATAAAACAAAAACAAAAAACGATTCCGGTTGCGATTAGCCCCGCCTTCATCTTCATCATTAGGATCTTCCAAGCATCGGAGCCTGTGATTGGAGCTCCGATTTCCATAAAGCTTCAACCGTGGCTCCCTCAGGCAGCCAACAGCAACAAAATCTCTCTCGAAGGAAACCCACTTCCGGGTCATCATCTTCTTCTTCTTCGAATTCGGCTCAACAAATTTCCCCCCCGACTCGAATAGTTTATCGAGAATCGTCTTCCAAGTCCGATCTCAATTTGCCTTTTTGGCAAACTACCTGGTTCATTGGCTTACTTTTACTAATGGCAATCTCGTTTTTCGGTCTCGCCATTTTCCTTTTTCTTACCCTTGACTCCGATTTCACCTCTTCCCCTGTCTCTGCCGCTTCCGAAGGCGTCCAGGTAAACCGAAAGCCCACTTACTACTTCAAATTCGTGGTTTTTGCGTTCCTGTAGTTGCACAGATATGCGGTGCATCTTTGTGTGTGTGCTTTTTCCCCCTATTTGTTGAAACTGTACTCGGAAAGTTGATTTATAGTTGTTTTTGGTTCAAAATTTTGACCTAGTTTTTGCTATTATAGGCATGTGATGGATATAAATTCTAGCGTTTCAGAGGCTTCTAAGCTAAAAGAGGACAGGGAAAGAGGAAATGGAGTTGTTTGTGTAGAATTAGTAATAGCCTTCGACATGTTTGATGAAATGCCTCGACAATCTTTGTTGAAAATCTAGCTGGGTGTCAGTCAAAAATTGCAATTTGGATTTTTTAAAGAGCTGATTAATGAATTAAATTTGATTTTTTTTCCTATTTTATAGTTTGAGGTTTCTATTGTGTGGCGAAAATTAAAAATGGGTGTATGATGCTTTGAGTTCTAATAGTTGTATAATGGGGCTTTGTGCTAAGTCATTCTTATTTTGTTCGGCATCTGTGATTTTGGTAGATTACTTATGGGTCAGTGATCAAGTTGATGCATGAAAGAACAAAGTTTAGGCTGCATTCGCATGATGTACCATATGGCTCTGGTAGTGGGCAGCAGTCCGTCACTGGTTTTCCCAACGTTGATGACTCAAACAGCTATTGGGTATGTTTCTTTTTCTACTATCTATTTTTTCTAGATCATCATAATTTTCTAAGGTTAGGTAAAGGTTAACGTAATTAAACTTGGCTTGTAGATTGTTAGACCTGTACCAGATACCAATGCCCAACAAGGGGATACAATCAAAGGTGGTACCATCATCAAGCTGCAACACATGAGGACCAGAAAATGGTTACATAGCCACTTGCATGCATCCCCCATCTCTGGCAATATGGAGGTCAGCCACCTACTTTTTCTCTGTAGCTTCTCTCGTCCAAGTTGAACATGATGTTTAATGGTTCTTTTTGACGTATAAAGTAGTGGTGTGTCCTTGGCTTTGTTAATGTTGTAAGACTGACTTGTGTAGCTCGAGCTGTTTATGAACTTGTAGAATGTGCAGCTGATCATGTTAGTATCACAATCTCTCATTCACATGTCAAATACAGATGTGTCCCTGAATTGAAGTTATAGGAGTCTTTTCAAGAAACCTCCAGTTTATCTTGTGCAAGAAAGTTCCTAAACTCTTGTTCCATTGGTCTTAATTCACTCATAGTTTACATAACCGGCACTTGATTAAAAAGGCATCCTTTTGGACCTACCTGGAATCAGCCTGCACTTGCTACAAACGGACAAGACTAAAGAGGAAGAACGACTCTGCTTGTAGTAAAGCTCGCATCCTTACCCCAATTCCCAAAAGGAAAAAGACACACAGTGTTTTAAGTTCCTCTGTCTGTGTTTGCTCTAATCTTTCCCTTGAGGTTCCTGTTCTTTTCAATTGGGTAGTCATACTGCCTTGCAGATAACAAGGAATGCTTTTATATTAACTTTATCACTTGTAAAAGCATGGGAGTGAATTCCAAGCAAAACAGGAAAATAGTAGAAGCAAAAGAATGAACTTGAAGAGTAGTTTGACATGACTACAAGTTTTCTGGTTTATTACTTTCAGGCTACAATTTAATCATTTATTTTGAGTCTGATGGATCAACTTAAATTTACAGGGAGCCTGCTTAAAGTTGTACCAATTTAATGTGTCTTATCACAGATGGAGAAATATTTTGTGCTTTAGAATCAGCTCCATTTTGGACTTAGTGTGTTGACACTATAAAGGCTGTAAGTAATCTGTTAAACAAATTTTGCAGGTCAGTTGTTTTGGCAGCGATGGTGAATCTGACACCGGAGACTTTTGGAGGTGATACTTGAGTTCCTTAGATTTTCTATTATATCTTTTTTTTTAAAAATTATTGATATTTAGTCATCATGCTGTATCGGTAGGCTTGAAATTGAGGGAAACGGAAAAAGCTGGAGGCAAGATCAGCGGGTGAGGCTTCGCCATGTAGATACAGGTGGATACCTCCACAGTCATGATAAGAAATACACCCGCATAGCAGGGGGCCAGCAGGAGGTGAGAGCTACATATATTGCAAACTTAGCTCTTTACAAGGATGATTTGTATCTTCATTCTTGCATCTGGAAAATTCCAAAGGCTAAATGCCCCTTCTCCCTTAATCTGCCCTTCCTTGACAGCTTCTTTGCCTATTCTGCAGGTTTGTGGTGTTCGGGAGAAGCGCCCTGATAATGTTTGGTTGGCGGCAGAGGGTGTGTACCTCCCAGTAGCTGAAAGCAAGCATGCATCGTCATGATTTTAGAGTTCTTTGACACTAATATGCCTTAGTTTTTCTGAATTCTTGCGTCTGCACCTCCCTGCCCAAACCTTTTTTAACTTGCTCCGTTTACATGTCATTTAAATGTCTCTTCATTTGCTGTTTTTGTTCCAAATGAGGTTCAGAATTGTAGTTGTATCAGAGGGCCCGTTTTCCTGCAAGTGTTTAAGATTTTGAACCAATATATAGAGTAATGCACTATTAACAATCATGTGGAACTCCAGGAATTTATCGTCCTTTCAAATTTCCGGTGGTGTCAAGTTTGCTGTAGATAAGAATCAAATCATGATTCTGTGCTCTTTTTGAGCTCTCTCTACCATATAATCTTGCATTGTTGAACTCTTTAAGCGCATTACACGCACAGATGTACGCTTGTAATCTTGGTTACTACTTGAGGCTCCCCTTCCGCACTCGTGCGTTTGATCCCAAAGCATTTGTAATTAACGAACGGGGCCGAAGGTTTTCAGTTTGATGCTTCTGGTTTGTATATAGTACATTAACTGCTTACAGAAAGCTAACATGATTAATGCGCGTAAGAATTGCTTCTGGTGAAAGCTAAAATCTACCGTGGAAAACTACCCAAATTCCCTCGTCCAACGTTTATGTTACTGGTTGGAGTAGAAAATTTGAATTTTGTTCCTTCAGCCATTCAAATAAAAAACAATGAACCCTTAGAACTTCATAAACTGCAAGTATTCAAATATTCACTGCATGTCAGAGTCTTTCTATACACTGTTTAATCTTGAACATACAAATAATGCAACAAATAAATCTCTTTCAACTAGTTAGGTGTGAAATACGAACTTCCGAACCCAGTGAGTACCCTCAAGAACCGTGACATATCTTGACATTGATTAGTTAGTCCTGGTCATCGAAGTTGGTGATTTCAGATGCAGAATTCAGGTCCGACTAGCAATTACAGAGGTCGAATTCTGGAAAATACAACATCAATGATGATGATGCACAAGAAGATTGTGTCTTCTTCCGTGTAAACTTGGTTGAAGCCGTATTTTGTTTCGGGGAGATGGTCTTGACTTTTGAGACCTTCCTGAACAATTAATTACTATCTGCATATACACACATACATACACACATATATATATATGTGTGTGTATTTTCCTTTTGGGTGGATCCGTTTTATTTTCTGTTGCCTATAATAACCCGCTTATGGTATTCAGTTGCGCGTATAAATTGCCATCGACTGATGATGCTTAACTGGCTTCATGTTTATCACACTATGGGGAGCCGGCTATATGATCTCATCCTCTAACGGCGAAAAAGAAAGTTTCATTAAGATGTCTAACCCACGGGTTCTGCATATTATTCCTTCCTTCTCTTATTAATTGCTTTGAATCATAGAAATTCTGAAGTGACATACGCATTTCGGTGAAAAAGAAGTAACATACGGAGGCTCGGCAGCATGAAGCACTGAGTGAAGTTCGCTGTAATTCCAACGTAGCACAAGAACACTTTACTGTTCTCTTAATTTAAAAAAAAAAAACTTAAACGCCTAAATTTTCATCTTCCATACCTTAGAGACTTGCTTCTTCAGCGCTAAAACTTCTACAAGGCACTACCAACAACCGATCATATTAAACATTATTACTTCGTTACTGAAAGCAATTAACACCCACCATTCAACCAAAGACATCATCATCACCACGAGAACTAAGGATAGATAATCAACTGCTAGCCTAAGTCGGAAGACTTCTTGTCAAATTCTTCCCCAGACGTATTAAAGACCATGATGATTAAAAACAAGCTGCACTAATAAAGAGCCACAATCTGTAGCAGTGTGAAACATACATAAGAAGCAACTCTTGGCATCTCAATTATCAAAATCTGTTAAGCTCCAAAAAGGTAGTTTGGTTCTCATTGAATAACAAAACTTTTCTAAGAGAAGCTCTTTAACAACAAACTGAAACTAGGCTTTCTGTTTGGAAAAAATCCCAGACAACGTCCAGTTTTTTCAGTGAGATTTCACATATTCTTGAACAATGTGCAGACCCTCCGTTTCCTCTCCGTAATCCTGAAAGCAAAAGAAAATGTTGGGGCTCATATTAAGCATCGTATCTTCACACCAAACACGCAAAAAACATTAGGCTCGTTCTTTACCTTTACAACGACGCAGGAGCAACCCACAACCTTCCTTGCCTTCCCTTCGGAGTCGATCTTGCACAACTGTATACAGAGGGGAAAAACAAGTGAAACTACAGCACCATATCTCACACGATAAAAGTAAAAGACAAGTTTAAGACACATCACAAGTACAAAAAACAAATTTTCCTCTTTCCACATAAAAGGAACAAATCCATCACAAAGTGTCCAATGCCTCAATACTACCTTTCTAACTGATCAGTCCTCAAATGTTCAAATATAATGTTTCCAGCATGTTTTGACCATAAATATGTATAAAAAGCTGAAACAAACAGCCAAGCCTACTTTGCTAACCATGCTTTTTTGTTCCACCAAGAGAATGTGCCTGTATGAGTGCTCTTTGTATGTGCAAGTAGCTTTAAATATTTCAAGATCTTAAAGAACTAAAGCTATAGGATACACAAGTTTATATTCAGGAAGAGTTGTGGGGTGGGAAGGATAATCAAGAAACAAAAAGCATAATCCTCAAAATCCAACAGCATATATTTACTTACACCAGCCCATTCACCAAGAGTCTTGGCACTAGGAACAGAAATCAAGTTCACGTTGTGATCTGCACAAAGTGCTTTGACTAGTTTAACATAGTCTGGCTGGTTGCAGTCCTCAGCCAATACACAGAGCTGAGCAGCATGCTTCTCAATCACTTTTGCACCTTCATGAAGGCCTCTAGCAAGGCCACCATGAGCCAATGATTTTCTCAAGACCAACTGCAAAGCAGTCATGATGTCCATGGGCTCCCCAAGAGCAGGAGCAGGAGCAGGAGTCTCTACAGCAACTGGCTGCTCTTCACTGCAACATAAAAGATACAAAACAAAGAAAATTAAGAAGACAGCATTCTTTATCCGAAATAAGAATTCCGAAATAAGAATGAAAGATAAACAGCCATCCAAACCACAATGAAACCCAGATGCAGGAAAACATAGAGCCAGCAAAAGATAAATAAGAAAAAGAAACAGAAGGAAGGCATAAAATGAATGATTAACCAGCACGGGAAACAAGCTATACTTTCCACTTGACATATTACCATCTAAGCAAAGTTCAAAGAATCAAGATCCTGGTCCTTCAAATGATAATCAGTATCCTAATTTCCATACTGAAAAGTAAAATCATCATCGAGTGCCAAGACAAAACCGAAAAAGGCAGCACTAGTCCAAACTGGTTACGTGCAACAAAACACTTAGAAGAACTAATTAATAGTTTAGATAAGTCCACCAAAATATTGAGAAAAGAAAACAACAAGAGTTAAAAAGTTTAATCAAAAACCCCAACCGAAGACAATCCAGAGCATTTCCCATTAAAGTATGAGCAGAACAGAGGATAAAGAAAAGCCAAACTGAAAAATCATATACACATACCCCGACATTGTTGCCTTCGATTTTTAAACAACGACTAAAACCTGCCAAAACAGAATGTGAAGGAAAGGTAAGATGTAGCATAAAACCTGCACACAGGAAAACTGATCCAAACATCAAAAGAATTACTATGCATCACTTAATGCTTCTAATATATACAGAGTGGTAATAAAAACAGAATAAATCACGCTCTCATGAACGTCTATGTAAAAGAAAAGGAGCATTTCTACTATCCAAAACACAGAAAACAAGTATAGAGCATCCTCTTCATGGGACAAAAACAACTAATTGTAGCACTTGTTTTGGGTTTCTTTCATTTTTTTAAGCTCATTTCAGCAAAAGCGTGTCCAAAATTTTTTTTTTTTTAAGTTAAAGTTCCAATTCAACAATGTTCAACTAATCTAGCCTTTCATTACAACTTGAAAAGCAAAATCCAAACAGATAAATTTCACAATATGCAATTTCCTCATCTCATGCTTCTGGTCCAGCAAAATAACCTTTCTCCACGAGTTAGTTTCCACTGAATTCCAAAACAACCTCAGCAACCCAAAACATTAAAAAAAAAACCATTGTTTAATAAGCAGCCATCTAACCAATTTAAAAATTCATACTTAAGAGCTTAAAGGCTCTAACTTTAAACACATTTGCAAATCTCATATACGAATAATAATGAATGAAGAGGGAAGGCTAAAGGGAGAGAGTTGGCAACTAACCTGGGATGACGGAGGTTGAGAGAGAGAGAGAGCCGAGGCCGCAGTTGAGAGTCGTGAGAGTGAAAACGGAGACGACGACTGAAACTTTTGCTCTCTTATACGAGAGCCCCAAAACCCTAGCTGCTCACTGAATTTACTGATTTATCCTCCATCTGGTTTAAGTCCAGGCCCGGCCTACCCTGAGGAAATGTTCCAGCCACGTCGCTGTTGGGCCTACTTCGGATATTGCCCCAAATTGCCTGTGATGGGTAGCCTGGAATTCCTTACGGAGTTGGGCTTGATTCGGATATCCTCTGTCGATGCTTCAATTATGCGTAACGAATTATTTTTCAGTCGACAATTTTTATTTAATTATCTTTCTTAAGAACCATAACTACCCAAAAAAAAGAATTTCTTTACCCACCCTTCCTTAATATAGTAATTTCACTTCCATTAAACTATCACTGGATGTTATGCGGAGTAGCTTTTTTTAAAAAAAAAAAAAGAAAGAAAGAAAGAAAGAAAGAGGTAGATAGGTATATATATGAATGCGTTGAAAGCAAAGTGTTGGGGAAATTGATAGAGAGGAAAGATACAGATTCATCTCCTTTGGTACATGGAATGTATTGCCAATTGCCATGAGCGGTCTTCATCTCAAACAAATCAATAATAATGCATTCATTCATTCATGGCGACTGCTCAATGCTCACGGCAAAAGTGGGGCCTCCACTCTTCACTTTTTTTGGATTTTTTTTTTTTATCAATTGTCATCCCCTACTCGCTACTCTAATTATGAAGAGACTCAATTGAGCCTACAACGAATCGAGGGATAGAATCACCATCGATCATACGAAGTACTATGCACAGTCTACAAATTTAACGTAGACCCACGAGAGTGATAAATTTAATGGAAGTTAAGATTCACCAAAGCCTTAAAGGGTTTGATGATGGCCACCGGACCAAGAGCGGGTGGTTTCACTTTTTTTTGGTGAAGAGACGTCAATGTAGCGTGCATTTGAAGATGATTATACCGTCCCAATCATCACTCCCCTGCACTTATTGCATCAATTTTGTTACTTCAGCTTTACAGATTTTTTTTTTTCTTCGAAAAACTTTAACCACTATGGATATGAATTACTGGTACAGAGTAGCACCACTTCTCTTTCGTTGCCCCCTTCTGATAATGCCTAGCTTTTCATCTGGTCGAGCCACTAAAAAATATTTTATTTACATTCTTATAAACATATTTTTATATTCTCGATTACATTATCATTGTTGACTGTGTTTCTTTTTTGTCTTTCTCTAACTGAATTTCACCTTCTTTTTTTTTGTCAAACAACTGAATTTCACCTACGCGGTGGAATCTTCCATAAACTTGTACACTAATTGACAGCGAGCGTTGCACTTTAAAATTTCAAAAGTTAATAATATGTCATCATCCTTCACGAATCAGGAACAAGACAGTACCTGATGATCGATCATAGTGCAGTGCGGCAGCAGCTACTACGGCAGGCGCAGGCGCAGGACCAGGTGTTGTTTTCAGATTCACCAAAACCTCTGCTGACTCACTAATTGGGTCGTTTTTTCTACTCAGCTTTTGTAGTGGTACAAATGTCCCACTTAGCAATGCTTCGAGCTAAAAAATCACTGTGCAACTTTTTTGTTTTGTTTTTGGGGCCTCAAGAGTCAACGAAAACGTCCCAAGAAAAATCTGATAGGTAAAAGCCAACCCATTGCCGCCCCGGACGAGGCTTCCATCGCTGACCACACAAATCTCAATCATTAATCTACCCTTACCGGCCTAAATGGTCCCTACCATGGCATCCACGATGAGAATGAGGGAGGTCAGATACAATTTATTTATTTATTCATACACTAATTCCTTACATTTCAAATTAGCTCTAATTAATTATCCTCCTTAACTTTCGCTTCTGCTCCCATCAAAATCAAATCTGTAGAAGAAGTGCCAACTTATTCATTCATTAATTACAGTAACATTAATTAATTATTAATCTGCAATCAGCTGCTGCACAAATCTGATAAAGAGTGCTTTAGTTATGGTTCAATTTATGAGAAACGGTAATGAGGTAAAGGTGCGATTTGCTTAATTTCGAGAGAACAAATGACAAAAATAGAAAGTTCGGAGACATAATACATTTTTTTTTATTATGAAATGCATAATTTGTGATTAGATTGGCCATTAGACCCTAACAAAACCCTTGACTTGTTCAATAATCTTCCATCCATCCATCAAACAATTTTGTCAAACAAAACCCTTGATTCTTTTATTGACTAGTAAAATTCAAATCTTTCCCCTCCACATCCTATGCTCCACATCCTATGCAGCCCTCTGTCTCCTCTTTTTCCTCCCAAAAATTTAAAATTAAATTAAATTAATAATGACAATTTTTTTTTTTTTTTTTTAAAAAGCCCTTTACTGGCTGCAGCAGCAACTTTAAGAAATTCAGAGACTCGTTGCAGAAGGTTTGAACAGGGAAGGGGCCCCCCATCCTCGTTCACCCCAAAGCCTCCTCTCACTCTCTCTATGTAGAAAAGAAAAAACAACTCTTCTCTGTTTCTCTTTAAAAAAAAAAAAAGATTAAAAAAAAAATAAAAATATTGGAAAAAAAAAAATTGCCTTTGTTTTCTTGCCCTAATTTACTTAATCTTCTTATCTCTCTTGGCCGCCATACATCTCCCATCTTCAAACCCTAAGACATTTCTCTCTCTCTATTTCTCTCTATAGAGATATATATACATATATTGATATGTATGTATAAAGGAATACATAATTTCGAAAAGAAAAATTATACGTTTCCACGCTCTTATACTTATTAGCTTCCGATCATTGATTCAGAATTCAAAGAAGTTTGGATCTTTAATTGATTGGAGGGTAAGTTTTTCGGAAAGATTTTCTGGCTTTTTTGCTTATCCGGATCCTAATAATTTTTGTTTCTTTTCTGGTTAATTTTTTGTGGGTTTTGATTAATTGTTGTTTTCTGGGCTGATTTTTCTGGGTTTTGACTTTCTTGCAGGTCTGTTGGAGTTGGAGGGTTGTCCAATAGATCGGATTTAGGTTCTGGTAAATCTCAAGGATCTCTGAGGATTATGTTCTTTGAGAGAAATTTTGTGTAGATTTTGATTGAAACAGTTCAAAAAAAGGTTCTGGTTTTTTTTTGTTTTTCCAAGAGATGTCGCTTTTGCCTAAAAGCGAATCGGTTCAAATTCGGGAGGTATGGAATGATAATCTTGAAGAAGAGTTTGCATTGATCCGAGAAATTGTGGATGACTATCCTTATGTAGCTATGGATACCGAGTTTCCTGGTGTTGTTCTTAGGCCCGTGGGAAATTTCAAGAGCAATACTGATTTTCATTATCAAACTTTAAAGGACAATGTAGACTTACTGAAGTTAATCCAATTAGGCCTCACATTTTCGGATGAGAAGGGAAATCTGCCTAAATGTGGAGTGGATAACAAGTATTGCACCTGGCAGTTCAATTTCAGGGAGTTTAACCCGAATGAAGATGTTTTTGCGAATGATTCCATTGAATTGTTGAGGCAGAGTGGGTTTGATTTTGCGAAGAATAACGAAAAGGGTATTGATGCAAAGCATTTCGGGGAGCTATTGATGTCATCCGGGATTGTTTTGAATGATAATGTGTATTGGGTTACATTTCATAGTGGATATGATTTCGGCTATTTGCTTAAGCTCCTCACATGCCAGAACCTGCCGGACACGCAGGCAGAGTTTTTTACATTGATTAATATCTACTTTCCGGTAATATATGATATCAAGCATTTGATGAAGTTCTGCAACAGCCTCCATGGTGGATTAAACAAGCTGGCAGAGCTCTTGGAAGTTGAGAGGGTTGGTGTCTGCCACCAAGCCGGTTCAGATAGCTTGCTCACAGCTTGTACATTCAGGAAGTTGAAAGAGAACTTCTTTAGTGGCTCGCTGGAGAAGTATACTGGTGTCTTGTACGGTCTAGGTGTTGAGAATGGACAGAATGTTCACTGAAAAAAAAAAAAAAATGTGTGAAAACAAAGAATTGATAGTAGATGTTCATTGTACTCCAACATGTACTTCTTTGTAAACTTTCCAGATAAAGATGTTTGATTGATGAAATTATCCGTTCGTTTCCGTCTATATTGAATGATTTCCTTGGTTTTGTGTTTTCAATCCTCTTCACTTCTTGCTCACTCCCAACATGAGTGGTCTGGATTGATGACTAGAATTAAAAACATTTGGATGGGTGTCCCGTGAGTAATGACAGTTCTCAAGTTTATCAAAACAAGGTCTCATTGATATTAATGATAGTTCATAAGTTTATCAAAACAAGTTCTCATTGACATTCCAGGGTTCTTATCATGCACATTTTGGCTGAATCAAATGCTTTTGCTTCGAGACTTTTGTGAGAGGTTGTACAGGTATGTTTTGTATCCGTTTTCTCTTCTTCTTGTACCTTTTCTTTTCCATAATTAATCTGTGCTCTTTTGGTCCTTTCCACTTTAAACCGTAACCTAGATTTGAATCAATAGTCAATCCGTGGGTGATAGAAACCTGGTAAATCTTTCCGCTATTTGGTTTATTGACCAAACAGAAATGTATTGTGACCCAAATTCTGTTGGAATATGATTGATCCCTAATCATATGATGTTGTGTACTGCCAGAATTAGATTTTCTTCTCAGGTCAAGCGGTGCGAAAACTAGCTTTTAAAAGGAAACCTTCAGGCCTAACGAACGATTGGCCCTTACCAGCAGCGCTATTACTATTAGCTTTTCTTCGGTCCTCGTTTGATAATATTAATCGAGAAGCTCGTTGTTCTTGCTAGCCACTGGCCTCTACGGAGGTGGTTGTAATATTCTTCTCCTTTTGACCACCTCTAAAGTCTTCCTTGTTGCTATGTGATTTTGGACCCCAACCCAGGAACGAACCGCGTGCGTTACTTCACAGAAATAAGCTAATGTGCGCGGAAAATGTTGAACTGATTTGCAATTGATTTTTGAAGGTTAAACTATCATTTTTAGGACTCTGTCTGTATAAAACATAATCTACTAAATAACCTGACACTCTAGAATATGTTTGGGGTGTTGAAGTTGGCGTGGCATCCCAGCAACGATTCCGGATTGAATGGAACAGATGATATGCCAGGCCACCTAAAACAAATATATCGGACAGGCATCAGTTTCCAGAACGGACCACTGCCAAGGAGACCTTTAACTAAGCATGGTCGAATTGATTTTCAGAAGTTTGGCCAGGCCCAATTAGAATGTACAGAATTGTCTTGTTTCAGCAAATATTATTACTATTATTAGTTTGAACGGTC